AGGATTCTACTTCCCACCAAAATAACGCATTTGATTTCAACACAGAGACTGCAAATCTGACTTTATCTGTTTCTGCACATCGGATGGTATTGAATACAGACTCCATCCCTTTGACCCATCACATAGCTTTAATTGGATCTCTTTCTCCCGAGAAGGTTGGTGGTTTACAAGTTAGAAACATCTTTATGTCTCCTTCCCTGTTATTGAGAATTGGAATCGATGGAGTAACTTCAATTATGTCTGTCTCTATTCTGGCAGGATTCCTCAAAATAGAAGTCAAGGTTTCCCTTAGTTTTCCCATTTCTTTAGCTAATATGTCTCTTGTTACATATTCTGGGTAAGACATCCGTTCTTGATTCATATTTTCAGAGTTATTCTGCTTGATTCATATTAATTTCTGGCTGGCTTATTCTGCCTCTGGTCTGCCYCCTACCTCTGCCTCTACCTCTGCCTCTGCTTCTGCCCTCAGAGGTGCCAATAGGAGCAACAGGGGATTCTTCTTCATTGGGGGTGGGTGATTCTTTCTAACCTTCTTGATCTACTAGGCATCTGTAGATAACAAAGTTAAAACACACATTTTTTTTTCACATTCCCAAATATAATAAAGTGTCCAAGTTCAGTTATGTATCTGTAGATTCAAAATTACATTGGCCAGATGTAATCTGAAAATACCTTACACACTGATCTCTTAACTTATTATATTTATTCCAAAGGTGCTAACTATGTCTGGGACCCTAATATGCAATAAAATAGTTTAAGTCTAGGTATCATGCATGTGAATACCTAAATCCCTTAAACTCAGGCTCTGATACCAACTCTGTAACACCCCCAAATCCATACATTGCATATAACACATATTTCATATATAGAATACATGTTTTCCCCTACATAGGTCCTTGATACAAGAGTCTATAATGTAAAATACGCAACCCAAAAATTTCAAAAATATATGTTCTTGCATCCTAATATATATGCTTCCAAAACAGCTAAGCACATAGGGAAGTAATTCACATAATGCTCTTTCCCTTATTATCATTACCTGTACACATATTTTGAAAACACGAAATGAGGGTTAGACATGAATGTCTAGTGAGGTTCCCTTTTATGTAATGCAGGGTGAAGATCACCAAAACATTTATCAAATAATCATTTCACAACA